TACATGTCTAACATTTTCAATTGCCTGATAATGCCATTATACATCCTGATGGAGACGTCACTAATACTAAGGACACTTTGAGTGCTATTATCACCCATATAGACTTCCCTAGGTTTAATATCTTTGTAGTTATTAAACCAAGATTTATTAGGACACATGTGGAATGTACACCACGAATCTAAGATCCAGTCCTTATCAACTTTTTCATTAGACACAATCATCACAAGGAAACTGTCTAATTCAGAAGACGACAGAATTATTTAATTCTCCATTATTTTGATCCTTTAATTTTTTCTTCCATTCAAAGCAATCTTGTTTAAAGTGGCCTAACTTCCCACAATGGCAACATTTTTTATTGATTTTATCTCTTGATTTAGACTTTCTGTTGTTGAAATTATTTTCTTTTTTCTCAAATCTTCCTCTTACAAATATACTTTCCTCTCTTGAACTTGTTTTAGATTCTCTCTTAACCTCCAATTCTTGATATTGTAAAGCATTAGTGACAATGGTTTGTGTTAGGTCATCTCTTGAGTATTTTATTGCATTCTTAATATCCTTATAGGAATCGGGTGGTGAATTAAGAAGGAGCACTGCAAGGTCCTCATCATCAAGTTTTTTATCATTATGAGCAAGGCTCTTAATGAGGATGTTAAATTCACTCAAATTAGTTTCCAAGTCCTTCTCCGTGTCCATTTTGAAACTAAATAGTTTCTCTAAAAGGTAAATATTATTAGGCAACGTCTTAGTCAGAAACAAGGCATCTAGTGCAATCCATAAGGCTCTAGGAGTTTTATGATCTTCATACTTGTCTTACTATGTTATCAGATAAGTGCAATATTATAGAACTGTATGTCATTTCATTCATCTTTAGAATTTCATTAGGCTTAGCTTTCAATTCAGTGAAAAAAATTTAGGATCATCTAGGATTTTAGCAACCCTTTGTTGGACCAATAGTCTCATTTTCTGCTTCCAAATGAAGAAATTTCCCTTTCCATCGAATTGTGACAATTCGACTTTCGAACCCATTGCACGTTCTGTAAAAGGGTGGCGTTACTCATAGACATAAGTGATTGTAATATGAGAAATCACTTAAGTTGCAGAAAAAGTTTTTGAAAACAAGTTTTGCAATCAATGACAAGTAAGCTGATCACAAAATGAAAAAAGAACAATAATATGATATGCACAGACTCTAACAGCAACAAGAATAATCGATTTGAGATTTTTTCCCCACAGATGGTACGAATCAATCAACGCAAAAAACCAAAACCCTAAACGTGTTCCTATTCCAATTAAACAATTTATTCAATTCTTGAATAAATGAAATCATATTCACAGATTCACATATGCTATTTACATGCAAATCAAATACCGGAACTGTAATTGGAACAGTCCCACCAAAGTACTATGTATTAACAGTATTAATTTGACCTCCGATGCCTATTATAGGGCTAGAACATCAAACCCTAGCTTATAGGAACTCCGTTCAATTCAAATTATTGAATTGCACAGATCAAGAAACACATCAATATGACAAAAAACTTAATCGAATTCACAGACACCTTATCCACGCCTTACGAGGCTCTGATACTAGTTTGTTGGGATTTTCAACCCCAATATACGTAACAATCCAATCATGGTTGAGGTTGGAATTCAGAGGAAATGCGTGAACGATTGACCTGTGTTGGACGGATATGATAATCTCTTGATGATTAAAATCCTAGGTTTCACTAAATATATCACTATATCTTAATATCTTCTATGTAGAAATAGAAATTTGAGGTTCATGTCATTGATGTAATTTGATTACAGTAATAATTGTTGGTTGAATACTCCTGGCTCCTGCTTCTGTTGGTTTCTTGTTTGAATCTATTGATGTTCATAAATAGGCAGTACCTTTTTCTTGTTTACATGGAAGTATTCAAATGCAATATTTTCTTTAATAATAATAATAATAACAACAATAATAATACTAACCTCGAAAGAATGACCTAGGAGAATCAGAATTGTAAAGTAAAACTGGTCGACACAGTTCATTACCATGTACGACTAGGTCTTCATTAAATTTCTTAGATGAGCAATTTTTCATATTTATTGTTATTGAGTCGATTTGGATTTAAGAATGAATTTTTTTTTATTTTTTTTAATTACTTATAGATGTCCGAATTTATGTCATTGGCGCTTGATTCAGGTGTAAAATATTTCCACGACAGTCCAATATTCAAGTACAAACATGTATACATATGAATCAACACATACATAAAAATAGTTGTAGCTAAATTGTAAGTATTAAACAGGCTTAAATAAAGGAAGATATATTTTTATTACCTTTTTCACGAAGCATTAATTTGATGGCCGAACTAAGCAAACTGTGTTGTCAAGACATTTCCAAGATGCCTCCACAGAAAAGAAAATTGTAGAGTTCCCCCAAACACTTCAGAAGGCTAAATGGCTGCATTTTATCCAGTAGCCAAGGATCCCCATGAAGCGGTCAGGGGAACTCTAGGGTACACCTGATGTTAATTGACATTGCTACACGTTAAGCTATTGCCATTCACCAGTGATATTTATAATGCACTCAGACTAATGGAGGTCTCTTTGCACTTCGTCGGTTCATAGGTGTACAATAGGGTTCGTAAAACCATCCAGGACATTAGGATAGCAGGTAAGGATTCGATATCAAATTAGGTCAAGAAATGATAATAGAGACAAAAGCCCTCAGGCGATGAACCTGGACGGGAATGTGGGCAATATTGAAAAATGAGAATCTTGATAAATACTGTGTGGTCATCCCATATCATCTCCTCTATTGGAAACAGCTTTCTCCCGGATGGCGAGATTTCTGATATTCGTCGAAAAGCCAGCATTGAATCATTGACCATCACTTAATCCGGATTATGAGTTTGAGCCCGACTAACAGTTCAACCCATCGTCCAATAATCACCGAACTAAGTTACTAATTAAGCTATATATTTCCTGTTCCCCATCAATAAATGGCTGCATCTGCTTGTCTTGTATCTAGTTGCATGTAAACATATCTTAAATTAGTGCTTTATTGATTTATATTATATTTTGATGTCATTGTTACTCTAATTAATTTTGAAATTAATTGTTGAAGTGTAATGCCTGTCTATTAACCAGTCAACGTGCGCTTAATTATCCAATTATTAGATCATAAGTAAGGGAGCATTTACTAAGAATAAATGATCCTTTCTTAACCAAAGGATATCTAACCATCGACTTGCTAGGAATTATGCTTCATTTCTTATGTGACACAAAATACAGACCAGGTTCAAGTTAGAAAAGAATTGTAGTATTTCTCAGTATTTATCCATATATTCTGAGAGCACTTTTCAACTTTCAGCATCAAGTTTTATTTTCTTGATATTTATTTGACTCTTTACACCGATTACTTGTTACAATATAATGATTATGATGTGATTCGGTTTAAAATTCTAATGATAATTATTTTTATAATTCGAAACCAACATAATATGATGTGTTGTCCATGAAACCGGAGATCATTAGTTGATAAAAAAACCTCACATCTATTGATGAAAAGTACATATCCATGTCGACGTTCAACTTGTGTTGACTGAACTAAAGTTTGTCCTTGTAGCTTCAAATCTGCCTTGTGATAATAAAATCGTGACCTTTTAATAAATTATGTACACAATTTCACTTGACTATTTCAAGGGACAAAGGGAGATAGAATAACTAATTTCTTAAATAATTTACGTGGCAAATTAAAATTGTAATTGAAAATTTTGTTGGTTAAATATACATGCTATATAATTTTTGAGTATATAAACCTAATTTAGAATGCAGGTTAAATGACAAAAAAGGGAAGGTACAGAAAAAGTGAGTATAGCCTACACATGCATCTTTTCGCCCACCACTTTTTCAGCTCTCTTTTAATGGAGAATCCACACTCCAAACTTGTGATTTCTTCATTTATCCCACAGTTGCGACTAGGTTCGGGGGCTACTACGTACTTTCGTCTTCGAGTTTTCTTCCTCCATAAATAGTGACCAAAACTCAGTTCTTACGACATATACTAAGCTTGATCTATACATATACCCACAAACACATTATCATTTGATATTATATATTATATTATAAAGTGAAAGAAATATATATCTGAGTTAGTACAATGCATCAGGTTTCACCTTGAGTTCCCTTCAATCACTTCATTGCAAGTGTTCTCTTTGAAGAACAATACCTAGTACTGAAGTGTTTGGGGGAACTCGTGATGTTACTTGGTATGAACTAGAGAAATTATTGGAATTTATGATGGAAAATCACCGTATTTTTAAGTATTGCTACGTGCTATAGATTGTTGAATGATTGGATTCTCATGGTAACTTCCCCCTTTATTTACATTTATTAAGTTTGTGTTCGTATTTTCTAAAAATTTACTTATTATATTCAGACAAAGTCAAACATTTACTTTAGTCACGGTAAGCCATAGCATCTTCTTCTCTTTAGTGTACCTTATGGTTCCAAAATGGTAGAACATTAATAACTAGTACACATTTCTTAAGGTCCACTATTATTTCTCAAAAATGTTACTAATGATTTTAAATGAGTAGAGCTTAATGTCTATGTTATCTCTTGGTTTCTTCACATGTTAAACGTGAGTGTTCAGCACAAAGTGATAAACCTGGCTGAACACTTGAAATAGGACATTCAAACTGACACACCCCGTCCCGTGTAACACCAGTAGATCCGAACGTGGCATGCGCCGATAATAGATACCAACTAAAAGTCGGACCCACCATCAATACTACTACAAATACAATATATCACTTTTTATACATCATTTTTCTAACAAAATTTCGACATTATCTCCCCTGTAAACAGGACTAACCAACTTGTGATCAATTTCACATAAATCCCAAATTATAGCACAACACAATAAAGATAAGCCGAAATTTCCAATTTTACCAAGAAATAAAATGAAATATACATATGGATACATAATACATAGTGAACTTCATAACTATCTACAAGTGATGCAAAATCACATCTAGTCATGAACATGCGTCCCAAAATACTGACTACATATTCTATGAAGTGAGTCATACTAACAAACTCTGTCGTGTGGCTCTGACTCCAAAATCAAGGCTCAACTCTAAAAGATGCCCAGATTCTCAACTGTTGCCTGATACGGAAAAACGTGAAAAAATGTATGAATTGATAGCTCAGTGAGTGGAGAAATTCAAAATAAATGTACCTTTTCCATTTATACATTTTTATTGAAAATCAACTTCATATCATTTCATAATTCACAAGCTTTATAGCCAAAAAGTGAAATATTCACATAAAGTCATAAAAATATCATCTTACAATCATGATATAATATCAGCTCATAATCATGCTATAATCTCATCACATCAAACGTGCTGAAAATCCACCAAAAATGTACCCTCTGACTGAAATATTAATTCACCCCTCGAGCTAAGAACTTTTGCCACGGGCCTTTGGCCCCTCCGTAAACGAAAGTCGGTCTTAAAGACCTCTCATGATCAATTCTAGAACACGGTCAAGACCTCTCTGTGAACTATATGTACACGATCAAGACCAATATCAGGTTAAGACCCTCCGTATTGGATAGACCATGGCCAAGGCCCCTCTGTGAACTAGAAAAAGTATATAATTATGGGCACTTTTCTGGCCGATCTCAATATCGCATGTCTCACATACCAAACAAATCTTAATATCACATGGCTTACATAGCAAGTCACAAATATGCCATAAATAATCTTTGATATTTCACATGTATTATAATAAAAGAGATTTCCATAATAAGGATATAATTCGAACATATAATTGCACATACTTTGACAATATACTTAATTTATAAATATTTTAAAAATATTTATATTTTTCCACTCACAGAACTATGTAGGCCAAAATCAACTCGATTGGTACGCTCTTCCGATATCCGTATCGCCGCCTGAAATATGATATCATTTTTAAATCAATAATTAACTATTTTAAGAAATTTCATTAATTAAATAGGCTATACCCAAACTTAATTATTTCACGTTTAGGCGATTTCTAAAATCTCTTTAATTACTAAAACTAATTTTTCTTTCATTTTACTCAATTTCATAGTTTATTATACTTAACCCCTTCAATAAAATTGAATTTAATCTAACAACCTAACAACTATAAAATCAAACATAATCTTTCAATAAGTAACTTTTACTTACCTTTCAAAATTGAGAAATTCAAATCTAATAGTATAACTCACTTAATTTCTAACACGTTGACGAGTTTTCCGTTTTTTTTCCCCTCTTCTTTTCCATTTTTTTCCCTCTTTTTCCTTTCTCTTTTTCTCTCTTCTTCTTCTTTGTACCCTTTTTTTTTGTGTGTGTGTTGTGTGTTATTAATTTGGTTTGGGTGGAATTGGATTGATATCAATCCAATTCCACCGCCTCATTATACTATATTTTATTTTATTTTATTTTTTTGTTTGATTTTTCTTTTTTTTTTTCTTTTTAAAAAAAAAAAAAATTAATGTATTACACAAACCAGTAAGGAAGCTCAACAAAGGCTAATGGTAAATTGGAGGTCGTAGAAATAGAGAATTTGTGTTATAAAAATATAAATTAGATCGACCGAAAAACTTTAAAATATCATTACTCACAAAGGTTGGTTTGCATCTCACAACCCTAGCTAGCTGAACACCGTCTATGCTAAAAATTTAGGGATTGAACAGTGATGAAGTGCACCAGTTGAGAACTTATTCTCTTACTATTTTTGTATTTACCCATAAACCATCTTGTTCCATATATGAAAATATAAACCTCAAATTATCTCACATTATAAATATCCAAGCAACTTGATTATCGGATTAACATTGGTCAACCCTGTTGAGAAAAATTACCTGCGAAAACCCGAAATTATGTTCAGACACGTACAGAGAGAAAATTATGTGAGAGGGATCTTCAGGTAGCCAGATGTGTGTGCGTGAGAGCCAATTCATACACTTAGAGAAAGAAAGCAATTCTGGCACCGGTAGCAACGATAGAGAGAGAAATTTGTAGGGAGGGAAAGAAAAATTAGACCCGTGCAATAATGTGTTCTAACTTTGTATTGCGTGAGACTAGGCGAGCGTTTGAAGTTTGTATTTTCCTGCTTTGAATAATGAATTGATTTTCCTTACCAAATTGAAACCGTTGAGTTGAAACTGTTGGTTTGGGTTCACGTGGACCTGTAATTTTATTTTCCCTCAAACCGAACTAAACCGTTTCAAAATGGTTTGATTTAGATTTAGATTTTCAAAAATCGTACAAAACCAAACCGAACCGTTTAAATTTTTTTTAAGTAAAACATTAATTTTGTTAACTTAAAAATTTCACAGTTTTCGCTTTTCAGAAAAAAACCAATTTTGCAATACAAGTTACAACCATCCTATTGAAATAATCATAGAAAGTAAATTAGTTTCATCATTATTGGCCTATGGTTTAACAAGTTCACAATACATGTTCTCACTTGATATCTAAACTAAACTAAAATTATTTCAAAATCGTATGAAATGAAAAAAAAAAAAAAACATATATTTTCAACAATTCAAATCATAATTCAACAAAACTATGATAGCAAATCATGTCCAAAGTTTAAGAAACCCTAACGTAAACTCTTATTCCCTAACATTTAACGCTTGTCTGGCACTGCTGAACAAATCACTAGTTGCATTTGCCTGTTAGTCTGCTAAATTCTACTGAATTGTCTCTTTCTATCTTCTCTTTCGGTAAGTCTCAGATTCTCACTCAAGCCATGTTTTGTTGTTCTTTCTTTTATTTATTGTTTTTGAGCTTATTATACACTTGAGCTTACCAAAAACCATATGCAAAAGCGGTAAGCAATTTACTCTATATATTTTTTTGGGATGATCAAGTTATCCCATGTCTTTATTCTCTTTTTCCAGATTGCATGTTTGCTTGGATTGATTCAAGGTGCGAACTTTGTCTTAAAGCTTCTCATTTCTTTTTAATTTTGAACTGGGATACTAATTACTTGATGTAATTTTGTATCAATTTTCTTATTTACACACAGACACACATATATCCTTTTTGTATCGGGTTTGTCAACCCCCTTGCTGAATGTTTTCTCAATTCTCATCCTCTCCTTCATTGTTTTGTGTGCTCGGCTTAGCAATCCAGTATTGAGAGTGTTCCTACTCACATTCTCACTGCTTCGAAGCCAAGGTCTGGAACAACAGTGTCTGTGATGAAGAGGAATTCTCCAATAGAATTTTTAAAGAAGTGGTGATGGATATGAAGTATGCCGATGAGGCTTGGAAAATTCTGGATCATGCCTTTCACACGATTTACAACTGCGATTATAGTGACCTCATCTTCGAAGAACTCTACAGGTAATATATATATATATACATATATATACATATATATATATACACATATATATACATATATATATATATATGTGTGTGTATGTATGTATGTATGTATGTATGTATGTATGTATATGTATTTTTTAATCTGAATTCCAAACCTTGATATGAGGTAACACGTGTATTACAAATTATTTTTAAGCTCTGATGTGAATTTTTTTCCATGGATTCAGAAATGCTTTCAATATGGTGTTAAGTGGATATGGAGAGACTTTATTCTGGACTTGTGTCAACACCGACATTCCACCTCCAAGAGATGTGTAGATGTATAGAAGCTGCCCATGATGGTTCATAATACGAAATGGGCTATTCATAATAGAGCACTTACAACGATCCGTAACATATTGGCCTATATCACATATGGATAGGACTTTCATTCCGAGACAGAACCCCCATTCACGAGCTGGTGAGAAATACAATTAAAATGCTAATAGATTTAGGACCTTCAGTGTACCAAGAAGACTATGAGGTATCTTTTCTTAAAAGTCTCAGCTGATTTTTATGGGGCATAGTCTGAGGAATATATCGAGTGCAGTGAATGTGGGGACTATCTGAAGAAAGCTGAAACACGCCTGGACGAAGAAGTAAAGAGAGTATCAAACTACTTGGACTCAACGAGCGAAGCCAAGATAACAAATGTTGTAGAGAAGGAGATGATTTCCAATCACATGCTTAGACTACACATGAAGAACTCAGGCTTAGTAAAGATGATTCTTGATGAAAAAAATGAAGATTTGGGAAGAATGTATAGCTTATTTGGCAGGGTTCCTAATGGTCTTTCTACAATCCGAGATGTAATGACATCTCACATCAGAAATACTGGTGAACAACTTATTACTGATCCTGAGAAATTGAAGAACCCTGTGGAATTTGTTGACTCCTTACTTGAGAAAAGGAATAAGTACGATACAATCATAAGATCTGCATTCAACAATAGACGATATCTTCCAGAATGCATTGAACTCTTCTTTTGAATATTTCATCAATTTGAATCCTCGTTTGCCTGAGTGTATCATTGTTTGTTGATCATAAACCGTGCAAAGGATTTGAAGGAGTGAAAGAGGACGATGTTGAGATAATTCTTGACAAAGTGATAATGTTGTTACATTTCCTTCAGGAGAAAGACAGATTTGAGAAACACTATAAACAACATTTGGCAAAGCGGCTCTCGTCAGGAAAAAAAGTTTTTGAAAATGCTAAGAGAAGTCTGACTGTTAAACTGAAGACTGAATTAGAGGGATGTTTACAGACATTAAGATCTCCGAGGATGCAATTCGGGCGCTTTATGCAGCCTACAGTGTAGAGTTAAGAAGTGGCAGTGGGGTCGTCGTGCATAAATCTGAGTCTGAAATATTTACAAACAAGACAGAGGGTGGAGGAGGACAGGAAGCTCCAGATCCAGGACTCTATTGTAAGAATATCGAAATCTAGGAGGGTAAAATCTCACATCAAAGCTGATGTAACAAAGCAATTGTAATCTCGTTCGTTGACAAAACTTGGGGAGATTACCAGAGACAATTATACCAATACCTTTATTGAAGAAATAACTTCAACAATTACTTGTTTTCAGCCGAACTTTTGTAATGGAACACTAGAATTTTAATTTCTGCAAGTATCTTTCTATGAAATGAATTTCTGTCTTCCAGTTCTCTGCATTGGCCAGTGGGTTAATTTCCTTGAGGTGCTTACCATTGTTCATTTGAATGATGCATCTCTTTTCTTCATCCTGAATCTAACTCTTCTCCTGTCTTGGGTCAATAGGTAGGAAATTATTGGTTACCTTATTTCCTTTCACCCCATAGAGAAGTTTCATGATTACTGTTGAGGTAAAAGTTTGAGGTAGCGTCATTTAGGACTCAACTTTATTCCTTTTGTGTTATTACTCAAGATTCAAACTTGACGCATAGGAAAAGGGAGAAAAAAAGGCTCTGCTTGCTCCAGGACTTCAATGTACTGGGCTAGTATCTTATAAAAAAGGAATTTAATGTAATTTCCACTTATTTTAAAAGGCACTGAAGCAGCAACTTCCTTGAATTTTCTCCCCTGCTTCATTAGGATTTTCATGTCGGCATTACGAGACCTTATCAACTTTTAGGCCAGTAAAATAAGATATCGTGTTTAATTACTTAAAAGGCTCTGACGGAGCAATTTCCTTGCATTTTCTCCCCTGCTTCATCAGGCCTTTCATGACAGCATTATGAGACCTTAGATTTCATAAAATACCTTACGGTTGTCGTAAACTTTATTTTGACAACACAATCTTAATAGAGGAAGTTAGCAATGGGTAGAATCTACGACAATTGGGAGAGACTGGTTGAAGCAACATTGCGGAAAGAGAAGCTTCGGGAACTTGCTCGTGCCCCCAGTCTCAGCTCTGTTTCATCGGATTTTAGTTCTAGATTCAGTTGCAATTCTCCTTTTCATGATCCGGCCATTAACAATTTTTGGGGTCTTGATCTCGAAGGTATGCATCTCCTATGCTATTTTGTTATAGTGAAACAAGTCTTAATTTGAGGCTATACTATCTACAAAATATAACCAAGAAATGAAATGTGGAGTAGATCTAAACAAATTCTTACCCAGAATCACGAAATTGAAAACAAAGCCTACATAAAAAAAATAATAATAATAATACGTAAATAATTTTTAAAAAAAGAAAAGAAAAAGAAAACCTAATAAACTAGAATCAAGAAAAGAACCCAAAATTGAAATTTACAGAAAAGGGGAATAAATTCTCACTCAAATGAAGAAATCTGAAAACCCTTTGGGAGTAAAATCCTTCAATGTTTTATGCCTGAGATTTTAAAGGGGAAATGAAAAAATGGTGGTTAACGTAGTCACGGACATTGCATAGGTATACATTCTCTGATTATTTCGTTAAAGATTGCAACTTCCTTTTATATCTTTGAATTACAATATGTACTATTCCATTGTCCCCAATTTTTTTAAAGAATTGCTATGCTTCCTGTTTACTTGGATAGATGGAAGATACGAAGTTTGGCTTCTACAGCTTGCGTACAATTTTTCTTTTTATGTGGGTTTGTCTTAATGCTAATTTTTTATGAGATTCAACACAGATTGTACATCTTGAAACCAAGGGAATTTTGGGACTCCTTGTTTCTTTGAGAGCTGATAAAAACTTTTACTAGTTACATAGTATAATTATTACGGTCGCAAATATGTACATGTAGAGTACTTCTTACTGTTGCAAATATGTACATGTAGAGAAGTAGTAAATTCTTATTGTTTATTGTTTATGCAAGTGAAACTCATAGATTCATGTTTATGTTTTCGATTATAAATTTGCAAAATTATCTGCTACAATTATTGTATTTTTTCCACCCATTCTGTAAAATTTCCCAAGCTTCAAGAATTCTCAGTAATTCAATAACTCTTCAGCTTCTTCCAGCCCAAGCATTCCGTTTTATAGTAGAGAAAGCACTGTTGAAAGCCTTCCTACTCCAATATCTACGGAAGAGATATTGCTGCCACCTAATGCTAAGTCCATTTCTTTCATAGAGTTAAAGAAGGCGACCAAAGAGTTTCGATCTGACAGACTTTTAGGGGAAGGAGCATTTGGTTCTGTTTATAAGGGATGGATCAACGAGCACACTCTTACAGCTGCAAGGCCAGGATATGGAATGGCCATTGCTGTCAAGAAGTGGAATCCCCATAGTGTGTTTGGGTTCAACGAATGGTTGGTAGGTTCTTGATGTTGTTGTAGTATGTCTTATGGCTTAATTATGCAAAACTCTTTTCACAGGGTGTTTTATTAACAACCTAATATTTTTCAGACGGAAGTGAATTATCTGTCACGACTTCATCATCCAAACTTGATTAAACTTATTGGGCACTGCCATGATGTTGACAACTTTCTGTTGGTGTATGAGTTCATGCTGAAAGGAAGCCTAGACAATCACTTGTACCAAAGTAGGTAGCACTGAGAAAACTTCTATTTTGATGGTATAGGCTTTTCAACGTTTCTGTCCATCCATTGAACAAATGTTAAATATGTCTCCATTGTCATATTAATTACTTTAAATATGTAAGAGTACATGAAAGTATTACCTTACTGTACCTGATATATGCAATTTTCAGTTTCTTCCAGGAACCCAATTGGTTCACTCTTTACCACAATTTACTCCACAGTTAACAATGTATTATCAATTGAATCTCTAAGATTATATGTGAATAATAGGATCATGTACCAGTCCTCTGAAAACTTTGAAACTCATTGGCAAATAAATCTTCAAACAATGGTTAACATTGGATATTGAATTTTTTTTGCAGGTGGGCATCAGTTTCTTTCTTGGGATACAAGAATTAAGGTGGCTGTTGGTGCAGCTAGAGGCCTTTCTTTCTTGCACGACACTGAAAACCAAGTGATACATCGAGATTTTCACTCTGCTCATATTCTTCTGGATGAGGTTGTTTTATTAAATCTAGTCGCTTTGTCTTATTGAATTGATCTTCATGATAAAGTATTTGTATTCGTTTGCATACTGAAACTAATAGCCTTATTGCATTATGGGGGATCATACTCTGAGATGCAGGAGTTTAATGCCAAGTTGTCCGGAATCAATTTGGCTAAAGACAGGCAAACTGGTGATATGACTCACATGTCCACTCGAGTTATGGGTACAAATGGCTATGCTGCACCAGAGTACATAGCTACAGGTTCAACAAATTGGGTGCTTCTTTTCCACTAGTTTGCACTTTAAAATGCTCATCATTATTAATTTAGTTGCACTAAATCCTTGTGGATGAACAGGTCATTTGACTGAAAAGTGTGATGTATATAGTTTTGGGGTTGTTTTGCTGGAATTACTATCTGGACGCCGGGCTATTGATATGAGCAAAACTGATGGAACACACAATCTGATGGAATATTTGTCTAACAAGAGCAGAGTGTCTCGATTTATGGACACTAAATTGGAGGGCAAATACCCTCAGAAAGAAGCACTAATTGTTGCAACCCTTGCATTGCACTGCTTAAGCAATGATCCAAAAACCAGGCCGAGCATGGCAGAGGTATTAGCCACACTGGAACAACTTTAAGGTCCATCTGAGAGTGAAAAAAAATCAAGATTCTTCTAAATCCATTTTGTTTATAAGTAATAAAAAAAAAAAAAATCTGAATATGACACCTTTGGTGTCTCTTTTAATCATAGCAAAATCAGGTGTAAATGATGCAAGATTAGTTGGAGTAATTATTGGCGAAACGTTATCCTTATCAGTTAAAAGTTACTTTCCTCTGTTATTGTTCTAAATAGTGTTGAACTGTTGATTGTATGTATTTCTCGTATATATGGATGCTCAATATGATGACGTGTTTGACAGTGGCTTCAAAAGTTTGTGAAGATAGGAGAAATTGCTAGAATCATGCTATGTATACATGCAATTTTGCCATATTTGTTTACAGGGTGAAACTTGACATTATTTTATTGGGAATTGGCTAAAAAATAAGAAAAGAAAAAATTCCAACCACACAGGGATGCTAGCTCAGCACCTGTACATCTCCTGTACAAAATTTCAATGTATAGGGGAGTTGCCCAGATTGCTAGGGACCTATGGTGTAAGATTAGTTGGAAAGATGCATTATTTTTCTTAATCCAGAACCCGTTTCTTTTCCTGTCTTGGAATTTTTTCAATTGTCATGTTCTGTCTTATCAAAATTGAGTACCAGTGACCAAAATGGTATAAGAAGCTGGTGGATCAGAATTTTCTTTTATGTATTTGTTTTTCTGTTCTATGTTTTCATATGAATTTAATTAACAAGGAATGTAACAGGTGGGAGAAAAGAAAAAAGAAAAAATCTTTATTTTTAATGAAAAAATAGCATAGTGGCCCTTACAATTATCTAAAGTAAATTATAATGATCATAATTTATAAGTAAAATTTCTTACTTATAAGTAAAAAATAATTTATAAGACAATAATATATTCATAGTATAAATAATGTTGGAGAAGAGAGATATTTAATGATATTTGAAGGATTTACTAATATTGGAGAATACTATGGCACAATCACGTCTTGGAAGATTTCCATAATTCGTTATTCTCTTTCCTTCATTGACTTATTCTTAATAAGGCAACCTTGATATAATGCGACTATATATATTTTATTTTAAGCTCCAAATATAAGTGAATATATACAAGCTCTCTCTTCTCCCGTAAATGTAGGTTGCTACACTGGTGTTGAAGCATGTAATCATTTGTGTTCTTTTTTAGTTTATTGAATTCTTCATGGTAATATAGCGGATTTGTTGTTTCGGTCCATTGCTATTCAAACCAAATCTGTTCTAAAATTTAGAAACGTTTCACAATCTCCAAGAAAACAGTTTTTTTTTAGCTTTGTGTGACCTCTACGGAAATGGCTGTATCTTGCAAACCGTAACTCGGAATTACGAAAGGTCGGTGCCGTTGGATTTGTATCTTCCGGGCTATTTTTGACAATGTTTAGTGGGTTAAAATCATCTTCAAAGTCAGCTGTTTACGTTTTTCAATTTTCTGTTTCGCGTTTTTTGGCCTCTGATTATTTGTTTTTCAATTTACAATGATTGAGAAAGTAATTAATCCATCTGTAACAATGGAGAATGATGTTAATTTCGGATGGAAGTTATCTGTCATTCCTTTGAATGGTATAAATTATATATCATGGTCAAGAGTTGTCTCTTGATGGAAAGAAAAAGTTGGGTTTCATCAATGTCACTTTTTCCTATCCAGATTCTACAAATCCAACATATGAAGGATGGATATCGAATGATCAACTTGTTCGTTCTTGGCTTCTAAATTCAATGGAAGTGCATATTGTTAAAATCTTCACTTTTTTCAGACTCGGCGGAAGAGTTGTTGAAATCTGTTGAGGAACTTTATGGAAACTAAAATAATGCCGCTAGAATATTTGAATTGAAACGGGAAATTATTGCTGCTGAGCAAGGAGATAAGCCATTCATCGAACACATTGGTAATCTAAAGAAGATGTGGGATGAATTGAGTATGTATCGTTCACATACGACCGATGCAAAAATCTTACTAAAAAAGGCTGAAGAAGATAAGATATTTTCTTTGTTGAGTAGTTTGAGACCAGAGTATGAGAATCTTTAGAATTATATCCTTATGAGTCCTATAGTTCCATCATTTTCGAGTGTGTGTGCAACTATGCAATGAGAAGAAACTCGAAAAAAGGCAATGAATTCAGAATTAAAGAATATAGCCGAGTCTTCTGCTCTTACCGTTAAAAGAGATGAAAAATAGAGAAAATTTCAGAACAAGAAAAGACGAGAAGCTCCCAAATGTGACCACTGTCAAAAGCTAGGACACTTTAAGGATCATTGTTGGAAACTTCATCCTCATCTTAAGCCATCCACTATGAAAGGAGAAAACAGGGAAGGTGCTGCTGTTGCTAATACTACCATTTCAATAAATCAATTGGCCCAAATTCTACAACAACTCGGTCATCCTGGTCCTTCTACTCCAAAAGATTCGACTCCTTCTAGCACTCACGTCTCCGGTAACCTTGAAGCTTATTTCTCTTCGTGTACATCTAAACATTTGAATACTTGGATTATTGATTCGGGTGCTATAGATCATATGGCAAATGATGTAGCATCTTTGAGAGATTTCTCAAAAAATTTATTTAAACATGTTCTTTTAGTTGCTAATGGTACATCAGTTCTTGTTTGTGGATCTGGAAAGTTTAATTTTTTCCTGGTCTTCCTAGTTCGGATGCACTGGTGATTCCTTCATTTCCAACTCAACTTCTTTCCATTGGAAAAGTAACTAACTCTTTAAATTGCAATGTTATCTTTTCTCCTAATGATGTTATATTTCAGGATCGAACTTTGGAGAAGAAGATTGGTGAAGGTGTATACTCACATGGACTTTATCTGTTGAAACCATTCAGTGCCACTTCTCTTAATAGTGCTATGCTAGAAAATTATATTGTGCATCAAAGATTTGGACATCCTTCTAGTCATGTTTTATTTTTATTTTTTGTTTTCATCTATGTCTTTTGGAACACATGTTTGTGACATTTGTCAGTTTTCCAAACAAGTTCGTCTACCATTTAATAATTCGTCATCTATGTCTGTTAAACCTTTTGGGTTAATTCATTTTGATTTATGGGGCTCATATCGAATTGATTCATATGATGGTTTTAAATATTTTGTGTTGTTTATTGATGATTATTTTCGTGCTACTTGGATTTATTTATTGAAATTTAAGAATGAAGTCTACTCTGTTTTTAAGGATTTTTATAGCATGGTGGCCACTCAATTTGATAGTAAAATCAAAGTTTTCCGTTCGGACAATGGAACTGAATTTGCAAAGGGTTCCGTTCCTGCCTTCCTTCGCGATAAGGGCATTATTCATCAGACTAGTTCTATTAATACACCCCAACAAAATGAAATGGTTGAAAGAAAAAATGGACATATTCTGGAGAGTACGAGAGCTCTCATGCTTCAAATGAATATTCACTTGATAAATAGGCTCCCAAGTCGTGTTATCCATTTTCAGTCACCATTGGAAGTCTTAAAAGGGAAAAAACCTAACGTGTCTCACCTCTGAGTATTTGGTTGTGTTTGTTATGTGCACCACCAGTCTTTGCATCGCAATAAACTTGATTCTCGTTCCATTCAATACATCTTTTTTGGATATTCTTCGACATAAAAAAGGATATGTATGCTGTAACGCCCCGAACTCTTTTTCATTATTATTGTTATTTTTAAATAAAAATGAGCTCGAGGTGCTACCAAAGCTCTTTTTTTTTTTTTTTTTTTTTTTTTTTTTTTAATTTAAGTGGAAACATAACTTTTTATTTTAGTGATCAAAATGTGGTCGACAATTCAATAACGACAAAATAATGATTTAAAATAAGATCTTGAAATACCCCATCTCAAACTGTAAATTAAAATTCAACATAAAGTGTCGAATGCTCGTACTCTAAGAAAAATATTAAATATCATGCATAAAAATTAAAATAATGATATTCTTTCAAATAGAATTTGACGATTATTTTTCTAGAAACTTTACTTGATGATCCCATAAGCATCACCAGTCAATCTTCTACATGACCCGTTCTAATATGAAAAGTATTGTAAGAGTGAATATTTTGAAAATACTCAGTAAAAATACGTGCATATTCTTATAACATGATATAAACACAATATGACATAAAATACCGACATGTCTTAAATTTAGAGCAAACTGGTCACGATTCTAACAGCTCAAGGAATTTCTTAAGAATCCCCATATCCCGTAGGATTTAATCATATTGACCCAAAGGTTCATCTTTAGGATTTAACTTTTTTTCTTTGACCTGTCGGTCGATCCCAAAGAATTTAACATATAATTTGACCCGAAAGCCTTATAGTATTTCATGCCAAATTTAGATAAATATCAAGGATAAGAATTTATCACTTGCACCATGTATTCTTACCTCCAAAGAAATTTCTGAATTATAGCTTTGCAAAATAAAATGATACTCCTTTTTCAGAATACGTGTGTCAGTGCGTGTAAACGTGAGAATGGTAGTTTTTGTGCGGTAAAATGAGAATTTTTTTCTTTCATATGATATATAAAGGTAATCACTTGTATTCTTATCTATTGCTGAAACGTCAAAAGTCAAGTTTGAATATTCAACTTATTAGTTAATATAATATTTATTTTCATCAGCCACGTCTCATCACTCTGACGGTTGGTCGTCAAATTCAAAAAAAAATTTATTAATTGTTCATTATCTAAATTAAATGAATGATTTATGTTTAATGTATATATATTAAATTATAAAACCATTTCAAATTCCGAAGTGCATGTACTAAAGTGAGGATATTTAGGTTTAGTTAAACATACAAATTTCCCTAACAATCATATATCACATATTTCTATATATATATATATATATATATATA